GGTACAATTTTAATTAGGTCAGACCATGGACAATTTATGCCACTGAGTATTATCAGAAATGATAGAGCAATCAGTGAGTAATTAGTGGAGTCTAAAGGCCAGGTGTGATACCAACAGAGACAGACCAGGTAGAAGTCTAAGTGAAGATGAGGGAAAGAGACAGAGAATCCAGCAAAAGCACTGGCAAATTAAGACCAAGATTTCAAGTTGCTGTAACTTCATATGATATTTCATGCGACATATTATGTTGTTAATATTTACTAAATGGTATGTGTTAAATCTGGATTTTTTTATGAGGGAGGGACTAGAAAATATAATACATGTTATAATAAAGTTTAAGTTATTTTCTTAGAAAAGAATTGAAAAATTGATTTAAAAAAATAAAGTAAATGTTAGAAGAGCAAGCCCTGTTGATTTATAATAAGGTACATTAATTCCACTGGTTTGTACTTTCACTTCTCATTGTGAAATATAGGGTTCCAGAGGTTATTTTAAAAAGAATTATTATTAGTTCCATACTTATCTCATCTTTGCTTCTACATCCCATGATATATTAAAGCCAAATTGCCATAGGGGCAGCATAAATGGAATCACCTTGACTTCCATTTTGGCACTAATGGGTGGGACTTCATCAGTACAGAAAACTTTTTATTGATCACAATTTAAAAAGTGGGCACACATATTGCAAAGATGTCAATCTGCCTGGCCATTATTTAAATGAATGCCTTTTTGTTCAGCTATATACAGACCATTAGATGGGATTTTTACAAAAACGCTTTAATCAGTTCTTTTGTGAGGTCTGCTAATTGGCTACTGGAGACAACCAGCCATGAGAAAAATCAGGGCCATAACTCCCTTCGGGGGTACTGTCAGGCATTCCTGCATCATGTGTGAAGGTCATGTATGGAGTGGGCTCTCTGGGGCTGGCTCAGAGGAGGCCCAATGAACTTGAAACACAGTGATGCAATACATACCCTAATCCTAGGAAGTGGTCTCTATGGATTTGAACCTTACTAAATTTGGCATCCTCAATGCTTAAGTTGGTGATTATTTGTTCTTCTGTAGTCCTATAAAATGGATAAGCATTTTGATGTCTTGACATTTCATTAGGCATGGGTGTATTCTATTTCAGATAGTAGTTGCTCTGATTTTAGAATCTCTTTAAATATGCTTTGGATAGCCCTGGCTGGTGTGGCTCAGTTGGTTGGACATCTGCATGCCACAAAAGGTTGCTGATTCTATTCCTGGTGAGGGCACATGCCCCAATTGTGAGCTTGATCCACGTTAGGGGACATGCAGGAGGCAGCTGATGGATGTTCCGCTCTCACATCGATGTTTCCCTTTCTCTCTCCCTCTCCCTTCCTCTCTCTGTAAAAATCAATAAAAATATTTAAAAAAATATTTTTTAGATAAAGTGGTTTAAAAGAATTTTAAAATACTGTACATATGCAATATCTAAGCAGCCGATAGAGGAAAACAAAGGTAGCACACAGAATATGAAGGCATAATTATATCTTTGTTTCTATCACATTCATAGTTCTTTTTGGATTCTTTTTGTTAGTACAATGAAATGCTTCTCCTCTTGGTTCTTTCTAATGGGATAGGCACACTATGTACAGCAGTAAGGCTGTGTACTTTCTAAGTGGTCAAACTAAAAATGGACCATTTCTTTTTAACAAATATGCCAAGGTATACATCAAAGATAGACACTGATTTTTCGAACAATTTGCTAAGGAGGTTGTTCTATCTCCTCTCTTCTGTGATGCAACTTTGCTTAACATTTTCTGGAGTTGGCTTATTTTATTCACTTATTCAGCAAATATTTATTGTGTACTTATTATGTACTCTCTGGAAACTCCAGGTACAAAGACAAATGAAACATGATTCTTGACTTCAAGAAACATACAGCTTAGAGAGGAAGGGAAAAGAAAGGTAGACACCAGTGGATATGTGTTTCATGTTCTACTGAGGGTCAGAGAAAGCTTTACAGTGAGGAGGTAATATCTGAACAAACTTTTAATGGATTTTGCCAGATTGAAATGGAAAGGGGCCAGGGTTCAGAGCTAGTAAATAGTAAATGAAAATCAATCACATGGGCCTAGAGTATCTAAGCTTAGAGTATTGAAATATTTTCTATCATTCAAGTAGAATATTATGGGAAATGCAGAAAGACTTGGCCAAACAGTAGGCAGAACTTCTAATAGAAGGAGTTTCAGTCAATAACACCTATCTTTTTCTTTATAATCACAATTTCTGGTTGACCCCACATTGCATTATAAATTTAGAGCATTCTTCTTTACTAGACATAATTCTGTAATATTTTTACATTTTCCAAAAATCATACTGTCAAATTAAAAAATTGTTGTATTAAGGACATTCAAAAATTGTTGTATTGAGGACATTCAAATTGTAATGAGGTCACCAGTGATGATAGTAATTCTCAAAAAGAAGTCCCTGGTGTATTTTAACCATGACTAAGCCATGAAATCTGTTTTGGAGGTGATGTAAATTATTTGAAATTTGTACATTAGGTGTATTTTCTACTGACTCAGACTTACTTATAAACATACTTTGTGTGGGCTGATAGATGGTTTCACAGGCATTGCTCAGTCACTCTCTGCTACTGGCTTTGATTGGTTTTCTCAACAGCCTATATTTACTGTCATTATGCCTAATTCTCTGTTTACTAGTTTGTAGGTATATGTTTCCACAGTATTTTGCTGCCTCAGTAGTTTTAGGGATTTTTTTTCCTCCAGTTAGAATAGCCCTAATTCTTTTAGTCATTCTACCCAATGGTTCAGTTAAAAGCAAACAAAGCAAAAAGCACAGAGCCTCATCTGCAATTGCCATTTCTCATCCTATTTTTTGGCTTTTATCTGCTCCCTCGGTGAAAGTATTTTATCAGTCAAATGGGAGTTGCAAGGCTACTATTTCTACAACTTTTGTGTTCTGACCCTGCAGCCATTCTTTCTCACTCTAATCAGGATCTGACAAGTTAGACACAGTCAATAAGCTAATGTAAAATAAATAACAAACTTGATATCTTGCACAGTTTTCCCAATGCACACTCACCTATCCTCCAGAAAAGTAGTTTCCATAAACTTTTGTGCGCATGCCTGTTCTGCCCGAGGGAAGATGTGACTCCTACTTGCTTTTCCAAACTTAGCTCAAGACTTCCTATCCTCAACTCCACTGGACACCTCCAGGCACGTAGCACCATTTGTTATTCCTCAAACACGCCTCGTGCCTTGTGCTTCGACATGGGCTGCTTCCTCCTCTTGAAAAGTTCTCCCTCCCAATATTACACTTTCTAGCCACATTCTGCATGTCCAAAATAACACAAAGACGATTTGCAGCAGAAACTTGTGGATTAGGACTCAGCGGTCTCACTTGACTCCTCCCATCAGTGATTGTATGTGATAATATAAGACAGAATGTGACACATTTTATGGGGAAATATAGTGTGAAGTATAGTGGAGCGGGCACATGTGCTGTCTCTGCAACCAGACTGACTAAATTTGAATCCTGGTCCTGTCCTTCCTTCTTCCTAGTACCTTAGACATTATTTTCCGGCACCTCTGTTTCCTTTTTATTTATTTTCTTAATTTAATTTTATTGTTTAAAGTATTACAAATAGTAGTACATATGTCTCCTTTTTAAATTGACATTGGAATAATAAAGTGCCTACCCAATCTTCTCAGATAAAATTGGGATAACACTAGAACTTTAAAGGCCACTGGGCGGGTTAAATGAAATTAATAGGGCAACGATTAGATCATTGTTCTAATTATTAGGAAAATGAAAATCATTTCAAAAATGTTAACTATTTAACGCACATTATCTTAGCAAATTCCAAGTTATAGCACCAATTACCTAAAAAAAAAAAAATCAAACCAAAACTTTCTGCTCTTTCAAATCCTTAAAATGCCTAACCTGAGTGTCTCCGTGGTCCCCTTTACACTTGATTAAATGATTTACTTTCCTTCGTGTCCCTCTTCATTCCCGTAAGCAGGCCCTATAGCTCTCTGCTGTGTGTCTGAGGATCAGAAAATGTGCCAGAGACTTGAGATATGTAAAAAAATCCTCTTCTGGTCAGATTAGGTAGATCAAAGGCTGGGTGAATGCAATTGCTTGCAGTCTGTTTAGGCTTCAGCATTTGCCCTGTGGTGTATACATGTACTTATCTGACTTCCACCACCATTCAGCCTGTCCACTGGAATATTTGGGGAATCAATGAGATCATGTACTTAAAATACTGAGTAAGCTTTGAGGAACCAGAAAAGAACTCGCTATTGTACCTGGGAAAAAATTAAAATAAAATACTAAGAAATAGAAAAAGATGTTAAAAAGTATAGTGTTTATAAATGGAATTTCCTTGTAGAATATACACTGAGTGGCCAGATTATTATGACCAACCAGATTATTATGACCACCCCATCAGTACAATGAAGTGAATTAGTTGTGCAAATAATAATAATAATAATAAAACCTTGAGAGTATTTGTTTAGGAAGTTTTCAATATTCAGTATTTTTGGAAGTGTCAATGAAGTACTGATGGCGTGGTCATAATAATCTGGCCACTCAGTGTAAGCTAGCAGTTGGTATTAGTTGGGCAACCTTCTATAACAAAACAATTTTTTATAGACTAATTTTTCTACCGTTGGGATGCTATAAGTGTCAATGGACTCAATACCTAACTGAAATTTTCAGAAGTGAAGTTCTGACCTTCCAAATGCCCTCTCTTTCTTCTTCCAAAGGCTTCGCTGCAGTACTCTTGGCAACATTAAGCATCACCTGATTACCTTTATTGTTATAAACTCTAAAGCAAACCACCTCAGCCATATCAGCCAAAATATACCACCCCTCAGTAACTCAGTATCATATTTTATTGTGCTTTTCAAAATCTAGAAGCTAGCACTTTATTCTTTAAGATATATTCACAACCACTTTTAAAAAGTGGTGATCTGAAAATAAATGCTGCCAATTTATGTAAGTGTCATGTTCAAAGTGATCTTGTTCCAGGTCAATGACTACTTCCATTCATTACTGCATGTTCCTGTTGGAATAGAGTTAAATACAGTCATTCTTTGAGTTCTACTGAAATATCAAACCTCAGCATTAGACACATAATAATTCCCTTTCTTTGTCATTTAGGATAAAGAAGTTGACAAAGAGCCAAAACCTCCTGTCTGGCTGGAGGATGCTCAGCAGTCCACCAATTTGAACTCATTTTACTTAACCTTGAAGTTAAATATTAACTTGGCCTCCCAGGAGTCCTTCGTCTGGCCTCAGGTTACTCAAGCCCTCCAGAGCCAATGCTCACTGCATTTGTTGGGCTTTTGTCTCTTACTAGTAAACTCACTGTTGTCCCAGAGGATTTTTAAACCTCAGAAATCTTCCAGCTACTGACACTTAGACTCTGCTCGGCTCACTGACCTATATTTTTAGTGCAAAGTACCTTCAGCCTTAATATTTTTTGAAAGTATGCATTTATGAGTAAAAAAAGTTAAGCATTTTTGTAAAATTTTTAAGCAAGTTATCTTCATCCCATTAGACATCAAAAGTAATCTTTTTCTCACAAACTCATTAGTATTCACATCAGAAGTGCTGAGATATTTTATACCGTCTTAGGAAAGTATAGGGTTTCTAAAATTGGTGGCCATCTCTTCTCCATTTTTACAAATACTAGTAGGCTTTATTATTTAAAGCAATTTTAATTTAACAGCACAAATGACTGGAAGGTATGAAGAGTTCTCATATACTCTCTGCCTCCACACATGCCTCGCCTTCCACCAAGAGTCCACGACCAAATAAACTCATGGAATTCGTTAGAAATACATCACTGTTTCTTCCCTCGAGAAAGAAAAGAAAGAAGGAAGGTGAAAAGGAAGGGATGGGGAAAACTCAACAGCCTGAAATATCACAAGTCAAAGATAAACTCCAGAACCAATGAGTTTATCGTGCCTGCATGCCCTGGTGTTGCCATAATTTTCCACTTCCTTGGTGCTTGCTGGGACATCTATGTGCTGCACCTGCACCAGGTGGCGACAGGAAACAAATATGAAACAGTAACCTGATATTATCAGACCCCAGAAAGGCATTTGTGGAAACACTAATTAGATTTTCTTCAGCCTTTTTAATTTAGTGAGTTCTAAGAGAAGATCACACCTCTCCTAACACTTATAAAGAAAATTTGTGAGTGAGATTGTGTGTGAGTAGTACCTACTCCATGCTCAAAGCAACATGTTGCCATGGTACCAATCAGATATTGTCTTCATCAGGGAATAGAAATTACAACTGTCTTGTTTGTCCCCAGTAAACAGTTTTAATGCTTGGAGAGAGGAAAAGTCTGATTTTGTTGTTGTTACCTGGTTTTGAAACAATAGCACAATAAAATAAGTAGAATACGAAATAGTGCAATGAGGTTTGAGAAACAGAATCCCCAAAGGGAGCTCATTATTCTTACGAATTTACATCATCAAAAGATGTGGAAATGCATGAGTTCTTAATGGTCAGAAACAATGGTGTCATCTCAAGTCAAAGGGACTAATGGGTGCAAGTGCAAGATTGATCTGGAAGCCTAATTGGCTGTTTTTATGGCTTTAAAATTCTGACCTTATATGAGAGCTATAAAATATCCATTGTGCTTCAGGGAACACTTGTGCATTTGGCTCTCATATTACAAGAAATATTGCAAATCAGGAGAGGTAACCCGCTATGGAGAAAAACAAGGGAATGCTTAACCTAAAATTCAGGAAAGTGGTTGCCCATGGGGATGAGGTGGAGGGAGGGAGGGACTTCATAAACACTGGTAATGTTCAATTTCTTAAGTTGAAGAGTATTTTATTCTTCTCCTTGGAACTCCACATAGACACTATGTATACTCACAATAAAATGTACTTAAAGACATATATGGAGAGTAGAATATGGCAAGTAAATGGATTGGTGGCAGTGGATTCAAGTTGAGTCAACATGCAGAGATGTAATTCCATGCAAATAGAAATCACTCATCCTCCTGTCTGAGTCTCAAAAAATTCTTTTTCTCAAGTTATCGTAAGGACGCCAGCCCCAGGACTCAGTGGGAGAAAGGGCTACCCCACTTCCACCGATAATATTACTACAGACGTGCCCGATGCTCTGACTCCTCCTCAGGGCCCTGCAGATCTGCCTCCCAAGCATTTCTACATCCAAACTCATTTCACTCATTCTTTAAGGTCCAATACTTCTTCCACAAAATTTTCTAGCATCGTTGAATTTGAAATAAATATCTCCTTCTGTGTCCGTAAAACATTTCAACATGAAATGTACTTTAAATAATTTTGGTAGCTGCTTCACTTTTTTATTTTGGTTTTTAAAATCTGTGCATTTATTTTCTGTCATTTAGTTCAAAAGCCTATGTTAAAAATATTTATTTCCTTCTTACATAATTGGGAATGTGTTTGAGATATTTTAAATTTGAATTTTAACTTCGTGTTTCAGCTAACAAAAATCTGGAAGTACATACGTACCTGCCTTCATAGAAGCCTACACATGGCAAACTCCTACATTTCAATCCTACCCTGAGAACTTCAGACCCTATGAAATTGTCCAAGTGTTTGAATGGATAATACTGTGGATGTTTAGAAAGTTTTGGAGTTCTGGAGTCTTCTTAGTCTCACAGACTTTTTCTACAGCTGTTGGAAAGCTGTGAAAATTTAGGTTCACAATGAAAATGCTGACAAAACCTTAGGCAGGCAGTGTGCTCAGCAGGCTCTGTCCTTCAGCAATCAGCGGCTCATTGTGAGCTTTGAGGAATGAATCTCCATGTGGTTTTATTCCAAGGAACGTTTACATACCAATCAAATCAGTCTCTTTCCCCCCTCCTGCTGACATCTGGCTCCCACAGTATGCAGGGCTCTAGATCTGTTGCATACATACACACTCCATGCATGAGCAATTATTAGGAAAAAAAGGCTTTCCTGAATCATTCAACAGGAAATGATCCCAGTTCTTTATTCCTGCTGAGTCATCAAGAAAATATTAGCTTATGTGTCTAAGGAATGCTTTAAAACTCAGTCTAACTCCAATCTGCCTAATAAATGCAAAATATATTTCTAGAACAAAAGGTACCCTTTAGGATGGCAAAGTTTATCTATAAAGAACAGGTTTTGTAGTTTCATAGTGAAAACTATCTACCTGGTTGTGGGAGCTTTGCTCATCTACTCACCCAACCAGAATTGGGTCAGAAAATCCTGATCACGTGACTATCTGTGGCTTCCTAGGAAAAAAACTGGTTGGGGAACTAGCACAGTTAGCCATTTTTGAATTTTTTATTAAGTTGACCTCACCTTGACCCTGCTCAGGGAGCATTTTGATTACTATTCACAGTAGTTATTCTTAGTGTTTAGAAATAATAGTCAAAGTATGTTGATATTCAGTCTAAGTAACCTGCTCTGAGTTTGGGATAAAGGTCAGGTGAATGGAAAATAAACGTGGCTTATTTCCTTGAAGGTGTGAAAGTGCTGAAAAACTACTCAAATATGAGGAGCTTGGAGGTTGGCAAAGAAAGAAGTCATGAGAAAGACAAAGGAACAGTGAGTGTCTGGGGACACTCCTCACTGCAGACAGTCCGTTATGTGTGCTTTGTTCCGAACAGGGTTGTACCAAAGTATCTGTTTCCTGTTTACATCATTGGAAACGTGTTTTAGATTTTTAAAATTTGAATTTTAACTTAGTGTTTTAGTTAACAAAAACCTTTCACCAGGTCTCTCCCCTCCATAGCTATGCATGTGCAATTAATTACATTATCTGTTCACTCACACACATGTTCCTATGTCTGAACATGCCTTTGAGCTCACTCACATCTCACAGGAAAGAAGAGCAAGGGAGAGAGAAGAAATAGTGAGTGGAAAAATACCAAGATGTGTACTTGATTATTGGAGATAATTAAGTAGAACCTAAAAATAGGCCCTTATTTCATATTATGTTCAAAATGATTCAAATTCAAAACTATTCACAGCTGTGCTGAGGGCTGATCTACCATATAGAGTTGATTTCAAGCACTTGAATCAATCATAAGCAAATGAAGCTTCTCTCTGTTCTTTTTTTTTATGATCCTAACTGCGATATTTATTTATGACCTAATATTCATCTGTATGAAAATTTCCCTAGTTTTCTTCCCACATATCTTTTTTTTTGTTCTTCTAAGTATAACTTGGGGTGGTATCATGACTCAGAGGCTATCGAATATGCAATGAAGAGATCAATATTATCATTACCCCATTACACTTCATTGTTTATTCTGCCAATACTTTTCAATATGATAGAGCAATATGGCCAATACACCATGTCAGTTTTGTAAGTCTCTCCTTACAAAGTTGTTGAAAGTGATGAGTTTTTAAAACTCAACTTCATTAACGTACTGATCAAGCAGACTGGTGGTTTACTATTTTACTGATTTATTAATTGATAATCCCACGTATTGAATAATACAAAACACAGGCTGGAAAGTAAGAAATACAGGAAAATAGATTGTGCTTTTTTTAAAAAGCATATGTGCAAGGATTTACCCTACTAGAGAGATCTTTCAAGTATGAGGAATATATCTTATTATATGCTATAAATAACACAAATTATCCCGTTGTTTTGAGGACACTATTATCACAGGACTTCTGAACAGACTTAGATGTAGACCAAACCAATGGCCTCTTTTTGCTGGTTTTATGTTGCTCCTTTTCCTTACAGTACATGACAAAATGTTAGGCTTCATTGATGAGACAGTCCTTAGGCTACCTTTTTCATGAAAACTTTCCAACATTCCCTGACATCCATCTCTTTCAAAATGCCTGATGACACAGTCCTTAGGCTACCTTTTTCATGAAAACTTTCCTGATTTTCCAACATTCCCTGACATCCATCTCTTTCAAAATGCATGGCTTTTCTACTTTCTCTATATCATTTTCCATAAGAGTTCATTCTGTGTCACCAAAGGGCCTTAACATGGCCAACATTAGAACACAGCACAGTGAGTTATAATAAATATTTTTGGTCTTCTTTTTTTCCCCATTAGATTAAATT